CAGGTAGCGGGCAGGTGTGGTTGGGGCGGGGTTTGGGGGCTCGGCCCCCCACGTCCACCGGTCCCACAGCCCTCCTGCCCTGCAGGCTGCTGCAGTCGGCGGGGCCGGCGCTGCGCAGCGGGCTGGCTGGGCTGAAGGTGCTGCTCCTGAACGTCAGCAGGGCTGTCACTCACGATGTCCTCATCGCCTTTTCCCCCACGGAGGTGAGATGCACCCCTCTCCCTCAGTCAGAAGGTCCCGTGCCTTCCAAGCATCCCTCGGCCCCTGCCCCCGGGGCTTGGCATGCCATGGCGTGCTCTTCCTCCACCCTGCTCCATGGCTGCATCATGGACCCACGCCAGCTTTAGCATCCCTTGGCAAGGAGTCACGTGAAATGGTGCTTGGGAGGGAAGAGCCCTTCCTAAGGAGCCGTCCCAGCAGCAGGAGGGTAGTCAGGTGGAGTGGGAGGAAGAGGAGGAACGCGTGGGACCTTGCGTCTCCTGCTCACCCCCAGGCTCTCCCACTCTCTGGATGTCCCAGGGGACCACGTCCCATGGGATGATGGTGGCTTGGGGCTCTCCTGGGAGCTGCTCCCAGCTCTGCCCCTTTGCTGCTGGGTGCTGGGGATAAGGTTCTCCCGTTCTGCCCTCGGGGCTCCTGCTGATGTTGCTGAGCAAAACCCATCCGGGCAGGGCTGAATTTGTGCCTGGAGCAAGGTTGGTGTGTCCCAAGCAGAGACGTGACGCTGCCAGCAAGCAACCCCCCCACCGCTGTTCTCCGCTGCAGGGCCCTAGGATGCTGAACGTAACGGGGAAGGGGAAGGCAGGCAAAATCCAGCTCCCCAGGGAGATATTCCGGTCCCTGAGCAGCCAGACAGTGCGCATGGTGGTGACGGTCCTCAACATCCAGCGGCTTGGCATGTTCGAGGTACGAGCTGGCATTGCTGGCATCCCTCTGGCCACCGGCACTCGCTACCTGCCGGCTCGGCTCAGGCAGCGTTGACCCCACGCAGGAGGTCAACCAGACAGGGCAGGTCCTGGACGACACCGTGGTGGGCATCACGGTGGGAGAGACGAGCATCTCCGGGCTGCAGGACCCCGTGCAGCTCACCTTCGCCCACGGGCAGCTGCCCCATGTAAGTCAGCTGTGCCCTGCCTCCACCTCTCCTCTGGTGTCCCTCACCGTGGCGTCGGCTGACGCTGCTCTCCCCCCTTGCAGGGCGTCACCCCGCAATGCGTCTTCTGGGATCCCAGCAAAGGTATGGTCCTTGGCAGGGCCAGGCGCGGGGGCAGGCGGGGGGGCCGGGGCCCGCGCCC